TCGGTAACAGAAAGAAGAGAAAACTTTGAAGCCATCTCAAAACTGGCCCAAAATATACTAGAGGCAATATACAGCGAAGAGCAGGGGTAATGACAAAAAAGGAACAGTCCGGCGTCTACTTGAGGAGATGCGTCCAGCGGGTCCAGGTAGACGTGACAGGAGCGAGGGGGTGACGTTTAGTGGGTAGTGTCCTCCAGGCAGCTTAAGGAGAGATTGAGTCCCACACTCCGTACGCAAAGGTATTTTACACCTCCAAAAAAAAAAAAAAGATGACGACTTAGCCTTTCTAAGAGAATTTGTTGCTTGTTGCCCTAAACCCACTGGCAGACGTTAAACGATAAAGCACTGGAAATAAGCACTTTAGCCCTTTAGTTTTAAAATACCTAGTAAACAAAACAATTTCAAAGTTTTAAATTCAAAGTTAGGTGAAGTTTAAATAGCGGACGCGACGCGATCAGAATTCTTTCCGATCCGATAACTATAAATGAAGAGAGTTAATACCACCTCACGTAAAGGATAACACCTGGCCTTATTAACGTCCATGCACGCTATTCGGTTTAGCGATATCTCTCTTCTACGCTGTTTATTGTTATTTTACGCGAGTTTATTTTTGCGCACAGGAAATTTGACTCGTTTGCACATCGTCATAAAAAACAATTTTCGTACCACGAATTAGGACAAGATTTTTATCTGTATACTTATAGGATACCTAATCTGTGCTAATACAACACTAATAATGTGTCGACATATTAACCAGGGACGGGCATATGGGTTATCACTAGAATATTTTTCTAAAAAAAAACCAGTGCGCTACTGACTTTTTTCTTGTTGGCAAAATTGTGTAGATTGTTTAATGTCGATTAAAAGTGGTCTTTTGATATTTTGTCGATGTCTGTCTTTTTGATAAGTAACGCATTTTTATCAATTACCATTAAGAAAATTAAAATAAAAAAAAATAATAATTTAATATAATTAATTAATACATTTATCAAAATTAATTTAATATACTAATCAGTGATACCTACAGCAAATACAAAAAAATAATGCTATTTAAAATAATTAAAAAAGACCTATTTTAAAATTTTTCTGTAATTAAACATCCGGTAATTTTAAAACTATGCATTTTCCCACCCATACACACACCGGAAAAGTCTAGGGATATTACAATTTCATCCAGCCATCGTCAGTAATTTTATTATTTGCATTTCTGATATAATAAAATTAAAATAACCAAACCAAACCAAACAAACAGTTTACAGGACGTATTGGAAATAAAAATGCGAAATTTACCGATTTTTTCAAATTTACCTTGATTTTTATTGAACTCAAAAAAATACACACATTTTTTTTATTCTAAACTGTGAATTAAAAAAAAAAAGGTAAAACCATTTTTACTTAATAAAGGGTAAAGCCTACTCTACTGTTCATTACAGCCCTACATAATCTCTCCATGCTCCTGATCAGGTTGTCGATCTCTTCTTGAGGTACAGCCTGTCACGCTGCATTCACGGCCCGAACCAGATCCCTACGAGTTTCACGAGGCATACCCATTCTCAAAATTCTTCTTTGGACCGCGTCCCATACGTGCTCGATGGGGTTGAGGTCAGGAGATTGTGCCGGCCAGGGTAAGATGTTTAATTGATGAGCATTGATAAACTCATTTACCACTCTGGCTGTATGAGGCCGTGCATTGTCATGCATGAAGCTAAGCCTTCTCGAATCCGGATGAATTCCAAAGCGTGACTCATCCGTGAAGAGAACATTATTGGTTTGGTTTGGTTTAATTTCATAGCGTTGAACATTTTGAACGGCAACTGAACCTCAACTCCTGAGTTTATAAATCCAGCTTAAGCCTTCTCTAATCCGGATGAATTCCAAAGCGTGACTCATCCGTGAAGAGAACATTGGCCCATTGTTCATTCGACTACTGAACATGATCTTGAGCCCACAAATATCGTACCTCTCGATTTCCTCTCGTTAAGGGTTGAGCTCTCCAGGGGCGTCTACTTTTTAAGTTGACCTCTTTTAATCTATTGTGAACAGTGTCAGGACTAACGGTTACATTATGTGTTTCCTGGAGAATTAAACTAAGCTCTGGTGCTGTAAGAGTCGGTCGGCGTCGAGCATTTAATTGTAAAAAATTATCTTGCTGAGGGGTAGTAATGCGATGTCGCCCTGTGTGCCTTTCAGCAACATCACCACTTTCACGGTAGCGTGCACTTAATCGCGATATTACACTTTGCGCTGTATTTCATGCTCTAGCTACGTCGATTTGGCGCATTCCAGCTTCGAGCATACCCATGGCCCTTAGCATTTCGTCTTTGTTAAGATGTCTACGCTCCATAATGTCGTAATACTAAACAGAGTTATTTAAATATATTCTGGCCAGTTATCATAAAAACATTCCAAAACACTTCTGCAACTATCCCAAATTTAGAAATAACTAGTGTGACTACTTCGTTTCAATCGAAGTAGAAAGAATCGGCCAAATCGGCCATCAAACCAAACCAAACCAAACAAATATGTGGTTGTTTATTCAAAACATTTATTTTTAACTTTAATAAAATGATATCCCTAGATTTTTCCGGTGTGTGTATTTATAGGAAACTTTTTTCATATTTTTTGATGAAGAATTAATGATTATTTATTTGAAAAATATTATAGTGATAACCCATATGAACGTCTCTGGTGAATATGTCAACCCAATGTTAACACTTTTTTAGCATTAAAATTTCGTCACCCTAGAATTAGGTTGTTCTATATCCACTTTTGGTTTAAATGTTTAATTATCCACTTAGTGTTTAAATGAGTTACATACACCATTTTTTTATGTAGAATTAGCTTGTTCTATATCCACAAAAACAATATAGCCAAATTCACAAATAAAGAAAAAAAAATCTAATATTTTGTACTATATCCATATTAATTTGAAAGTCGCGAAACCATATAATGGCCTACATTCAAAAATAACTATTTTAGGCTACATCCTACAGTTTGTAATAAAAAAAAGAGAATTATTGAGTTCTTTATCCTAAGAAGTGGATATGGAACGAAAATACCAGATCAAAAAATATGTTACTATGCATAAAAATTAGATTGTTCTACATCCATTTATTCCCGATCTCTGTCTCTCTAACATATAATGTATGTATCTGTTTTTATTTAAATTTAAGCTTTTGTTTTAAGCGGGTGCAATTTCACCACTAAACGTTCGTTTGTCAAATAGGCGGCAAATCGGTTCGTTTGAAAAGCACTGATTGCCTGATTTGTTAGCAAATTCGAATGTTTCACACTTTGGAATTTTGTGAAACCAGTTGCTTCAACTCAATTGACTGCTCAATCGTTCATTTGAAAAGCACTGATTTCCCGATTTGTTAGCAAATTCGAATGTTTCACACTTTGGAATTTCGTGAAACCAGCTGCTTCAACTCAATTGACTGCTCAATCGTTTGTTTGAAAATCCCTGATTGCCTGATTTGTTAGCAAATTCGAATGTTTCACACTTTGGAATTTCGTGAAACCAGCTGCTTCAACTCAATTGACTGCTCAATCGTTCGTTTGAAAAGCACTGATTGCCTGATTTGTTAGCAAATTCGAATGTTTCACACTTTGGAATTTCGTGAAACCAGCTGCTTCAACTCAATTGACTGCTCAATCGTTCGTTTGAAAAGCACTGATTTCCCGATTTGTTAGCAAATTCGAATGTTTCACACTTTGGAATTTCCTGAAACCAGCTGCTTCAACTCAATTGACTGCTCAATCGTTTGTTTGAAAATCACTGATTGTCTGATTTGTTAGCAAATTCGAATGTTTCACACTTTGGAATTTCGTGAAACCAGTTGCTTCAACTCAATTGACTGCTCAATCGTTCGTTTGAAAAGCACTGATTTCCCGATTTGTTAGCAAATTCGAATGTTTCACACTTTGGAATTTCGTGAAACCAGCTGCTTCAACTCAATTGACTGCTCAATCGTTCGTTTGAAAAGCACTGATTGCCTGATTTGTTAGCAAATTCGAATGTTTCACACTTTGGAATTTCCTGAAACCAGCTGCTTCAACTCAATTGACTGCTCAATCGTTCGTTTGAAAAGCACTGATTGCCTGATTTGTTAGCAAATTCGAATGTTTCACACTTTGGAATTTCGTGAAACCAGCTGCTTCAACTCAATTGACTGCTCAGTCGTTCTCTAATACTATCAATACTAGAGATAGCTAAAAAACATTTAAATAATCCAATGAAAGTTAAAAATCAGATTTAAAATCTGATTAAGTTATTCTAACACTATACATACCAAACAAATAGGCGAAAAAAAATGATAGTTTTTAATAAAAAATTACTACTATTGTATTTTAGGTTTTTATTTTTTATGTTGTTTGTAGTTAATGTCTTAATGTCTCCATTTCAGTTATTTTGTGTTGAAATAATATTTTGAAATACAAATAAATCAGCTTAAAATGAGTATTATATTATTCTATATCCCCTGTTTTGTTCTATATCCCTAAAATTGTATCAATGCACAGCTAATAGACACGTTTGTTCTATATCCAAATCTAAAATCACTAATATCTTTTAAATCAAGCTTCTAAAAGTAAAATAAATACATACGTTTGATAGGTTTTCATATTACCTTTAATTTGTATGTTTAATAGAACCATTTTGGTATATAGTGTTCACGGATATCCAGTTTGAACTTTAAACTTTGTTTTCTCAGTTTCATCGAAATGGTCTATAGAACAATCTTATTCTTGGGTGACGATTTGTCGCACATATAGTAACTTTTACCATCAAAATTTAATTCGAATCTCTAAAAGCACTTAGAAAAAAATTATAATAATTCGAAAAAAAATAAGACTTTAACCCCCTGTAGCTACTAAACAAAGCAGGATAGGACCTATATGTTAATATGAAGGAATTTCTCCACGAGAGATATGGCACATGTTTTTTGAAACACCCTGTATAAAGATAGATATAGTTGAACAATTAATCTATTATTTTGTAGGAGAAAGAGACGGATTTTGAATTTTGACCCTTTCACAACTGAAATGCGTGCCCAAATTAAAAGTGTCCAGGAAAAGGTTTATGACGCCATCTATAAAACAGCGGCACCAGAAAAGCGTAAAAGATGATAAAATTTAGTTAAATAACTTATTCTAGTCTCTTATATTATCACATTTTTTGATGTGAAATAGTATTTTATTTTATTTATACCTTGTTAATTTTAGTGTTTTATTTCCTTTATACATTGTCATTTTTTTAAGTGTTATTATATTTTTATTTTTATTATAAATAATATTGTTTCATTTAGATTGTTATTTGTTAAAATAAAATATTTGTTTGTTGCACGTTTTAAGAACAATATGTTACTGTTTGAATGTTAAATGTAGGTAGTTGTATTGTTGTAAATATAACTGGATATTTTGTACTGTTTAGGTAATTTAATAATTTAAGTATAAAATAATATTAAGAAATCTACATCAAAACTGACAAATCGACCTTCCTATACTTTCTATGGGAATCTAGTCAACTTTTGTCTATTTAAATCCGTTAAATACAGGGTGATTGTTTTTATATAGACTTTTTATCAAGGTTTTATCATATTAGTGACAGAATATTGTTTATCCAATTATAACAATATAGCTGGTTGTGCAAACGTACCTCTAGTGTAAGTTTAACATATAGAAGACATAAGTTGGTTTAAAATTTTTTATTATTTAAGTATAGAAATCTTTTTATTTTAGGATACAGCATACAAAAATTGACAAAATGAATTTATTAATATTTTACTTCATATATAGAAGGGAGTATACAAGGAAATTTCAAAAGTATGAAGAAAAGTTTTTGTTAATTTTTGAATTTAATAATAGTAAACTAAATTATGTTTTGTTTCTGTTAATAATAGATGTATGCAATGCGTTAGTCTACTTGACTAATTTATTTAAAATTGCCAGAATGTAAAAGCTTTTACAAAATACAATAATTTCTAACAAGTTTAAATAATCTTTTTTCCATTTGTGTCAAAATCTTTTGGACTTTGTGCTCCTTAAATTACTTAAATGACTTTTGTTAGGCATAATGTTATTTAGTTCTTAAATACCTAAAAAAATTTGTTTGTGATCTTTATTTCGTATAATAAGATGAAAATGTTTAGCATAAGATAGAGATAGGTAGATAAATATAAGGTTAAATTATCAAACATAAATATATGTATTACGGACAATAAGTGTGTTTAGGTCAATTTCTTATTATTTTTAGCAACGTACTGTATATGGCCTAATGCTCTTACTTTTGTATAATAAATAATTGTACTTAAATTCAAGTTGTTTTTCATTTCATCATTATCATCATTCTCAGCTTATTTAACCATTCCCGATTATGGTGTAGCCTCCTTCACATATACAGGGTGAGTTTCCTACGATGCTCTCTATGGGTATCTCGAAAACTACTGGAGATAGAGAGTCGGTTAAATGGGGAAAAAATTGCAGTTTTGTGGGGTCAAAAGTATGCTATTTTAGACAAAAAGTTTTCAGATAAAAGTTGTAGATAATCACATCCTTAATGAGACTGTGTCCTTTTTTTTCTAAAGCCTGTTAATTTTGTCATATGACACAAACATAGGTTTTTTTAAATGGAAACCATAGTTGGCCATGACTTCCTAAAAAGCGCCTTTTTATAAGCTTTTTAGTGATATAAGCTATAATATCTTTTTTAGTTATGTTTTAGAGTTATAGCCAATTATTTTCATTTTAAACAATTTCACTTAGGTAGCCATGGAAACAAGTTCAATCGCCATTGCTCTCAGAAATGTGAAGCTGTCACATTCAAACTTTGCAAATTAAAATAAACAAAAATTGTAAATATGCATTTTTAAAATGAAGAAAAGCGTGTAGATACTCGCGCCTCAATAGAGTGGTTCCAACATGACTTTGATGATAACACACCACCCCCACCTCTCATAATGAAAGAAATAAATAAATAAAAATTATTTATATCATAATTATACAAACGTAGGGATAGGAAGAGTTGGACTAATTGCATGGGCCTCCTCGATCACCTGATCTATCCATTTTAGATTTTTTTTTTGTGGTAGGTATAGTTAACAATAAGGTTTGCAAAAGAACTTATGAATTAAGAGAGGCACTCGAAGTGGCGGTACGAGAAAAGTTTAATTAAGTCGACCGGTCCTTCTGTGAGAATAGGTAGTAGGTAGTAATTCAGTTTTAAAAACATGCAACTCAAAACAGTGGCGGATTTTTTGAACATTTTTTAAAATAACTTAATGTGTATGTAGTGATATTATTTTTTTAAGTTTTACTTTGTGTAATGTAAATTGTAAAGAACCGTTTAGTAATATATTCTGACTTTTTATAAGTTATAAATCATAACAGAATAAGAATACCATGCAATCTAAGTGAAATTAGTCAAGAAAGATTAGAATTGGCTATAACTAAATTTAACTTCTCTAGCATGTCTTGAAAACCGTTCTCTAAAAAATGTAACATTCACCGGTCAACGTATCCTCGAAAATGTATGGTCAAAAAAAGTTGAACCAATAATCCTACACGCTTTTCTTCAGATGAAAAATTCATATTTACAATTTTTATTTATTTTAATTTGCAAAGTTTGGATGTAACAGCTTCACATTTATGAGAGCAAAGATGATTAAACTTGTTTCCATGGCTAACTAAGTGAAATTGTTTAAAAATGATAAGAATTGGCTATAACTCAGTAATTTTTCGAAGAAAACATATTATAGCTTATATCGCTGAAAAGCTTAAAAAATGGCGCTTTTTATGAAGCCATGGCCAACTATGGTTTCCATTTAAAAAAACCTATGTTTCTGTCATATGTCAAAAATGACAGGCTTTAGAAAAAAGCGGATGACACAGTCTCATTAAGAATGTGATTATCTACAACTTTTATCTGAAAACTTTTTGCCTAAAATAGCTTATAATGGAATTAGGGACAATTTTTAAAATAGCCGAACTTTGTTTTTTTCAAAATATCTAGTAAGCCATGAACTTTTTCAATAATCTGAAAGGCGCATATTTATGACCCCACTAAACTGCAATTCTTTCCCCATTTAACCGACTCTCGATCTCCAGTAGTTTCCGAGATACCCATAGAGAACATCGTAGGAAACTCACCCTGTATAAATACCCTCTTTGCAGTTGGGCTCATTGTTGTCTAGTTATTCCTGCTAATTTGCTAATATCATCCTCCCATCTCAGGTTTTGTCTTTCTCTAGGTTTGGTCTTCCTCTAAGTGCTTATGAAAGAAACTCAAGTTTCTTTCATAAGCACTCCATGCTAACTTAATTCTCCTATCGATTTCTGGTAGTAGAGATCTCGAGCTGTGTATTAGTTGTCCCAATTACAGGGTGCTACAAATTGGGGGTACGAGCATTGTATCTGCTGCATTGGTATCTCGGAAACCGTAATAGATACGAAGATGGTTAAGTTGCGCCTTGGGATGTTCACCTAGATGCTGTCAAAAAAGTTTTGAAATCTCAAGGATTCCTGAGTTTTTTTGGAAAAAAACGTATTTTTTTGAAAATCAATTTTATTTTTTCCTGTCGTACGTTATTTAGAAAATCAAAAAAACTAATGGCATATTCTCATAGCCACTTTATTAGGGCTCTCGGTAGGGCGATAGTATTTTTAGATTTTCAAATTAGCTGATAATTTGTATTGTTTTGTCGGTCTCCCGAGTACAATGATACAGTACGTCTATCCGTTCTGTAGCTACGGGGTATCCGTGAGAGGGGAAACGATAATCTCTCGATGTTTTTCGTAAAAAATTAGACGACGCGTCCCATCAATAAAAATTCGACAAATTTGCAAGTAGCCAATAAAATGAGTGGGCGGAGCGATTTGCGGTGACGTACTCGTCAAGTCGACGAATAAAATATATTGCTGTTTATTTAAATGTTTTTTGTCCGCATTCCTTTCACAGACACAGATCCAGCAGACGTACTGTATATGCCGCACTTTATACTTTTTGTTCTGTTTTGGCTACTTTAACAACAACAAAACTATTTCGACGGTTGAAAGGAGAAACTGCTAATACGCCACTTTCGTAACTTTACAGAAGACCTGTTTGTCTGTTTTATTTTGAAACTCTGTCGCTTAAGACATTATGTTTCTCGTAATTTATTCAAAATTTAAAATGCTCAATGCGCCAAACCGTAGGATTATTAGGATGAAACCTAAGTAGATCGACGTAGAAAAATTCGCTGATTTCGAAGGTATAACTCAATTTCTATAAAAGTGGCGTATTAGCCATTTCTCCTTTCAACCGGCGATTTAATTTTTATTTAAAATAATTTCAAGTCCGATTAAACGACTTTTTTAAATTATTTAATCTGATTATATTCATCGCCGCAATACTGATCAGCGCTAATTAACATAGAATAACGGAAATCGAGCCATTTGAAAGATTCAAATAAATAATATTGAGGTCAGCAATTTAAATATATTAGGTAATTTTAATTTTTTTTATTGTGAATTTGAAATCTCAGTGTACGATCTAATAATATGCATCATATTTATCGTAGTTATTATAAATAAATCAACATCTACTAACTAGTTTCTGATGCTCTACATGTTTGAAAGGGTTACCACCCTCCTTACTGTACAAATTTATTTTTTATTAAATTTTATTTATAGCTCTTTGAACAGATCTTCTTCTTATACTTCCGAATGCATCTAATACCGAGATGCCAATGTTTGTACCTCGAACTTGTAGCACCCTGCATAGTAATATTTATTATTAATCATTAATATACCTGTGTGGGTTTTGTAAAAAATGGTAAATGATTACTTTATATTTTTTGTTTTATTATTTATAAAATATAATTATACACTAAGGGCCATTTCGCACCAACACGGTCCAATCCAGTCACGGTCAGTCACGTCGCGGACGTTGCTGAATCCAATCTAGGACAGTCATGAGAAAAACAAATGCGGGAACGAAAGTTGTTTTCAAACAAAACACGTCGTGTACAGTCCAGTCGCGTCCAGACAAATCAAGACTGATAGTGATTCGTTCGGTCGAATTTTTATGCCAGTCATTTGCGATATTTGTACACAAATGGATGTGGAAAGTTTAATTGTTTGGGTTAGGTTAGGATAGAGGTGTACTCGTATAAGATCTGTTGCTTACCTGAGAAATATTGCTAATCTTTATTCTGGTGAAATGGCAGCTCTGTAATTTGTATTTTGTTTTCGAATTCTTTCACCTAATATATTGCTTAGTAAGAAAAATAGATCTGGTCCCATTCGAAAAAAATTGTAAAATTTCTTGGCATCATCTAAATGACTAAAACATCCGAAAACAAGTTTTCTGTTACGAATGGGATGTATCCAAAATAAATTTCTCCTTCCCCTTTTTCTTCTTTCTAATCGACGAAAAATTATTACTCTAAGAATCTCGTCCATTTTCAAAGCGTTCGGTTGTTAAACTGCTTATTTTTGCTGAAAACACGTTAAAAAAAATGTCATCAACAATAGTTGGACGCGTTTGGTGTGAAAGCAGTGGACTGTAGTGATTTGACTGGGCTAGACTGAATCTGACGGGACTAGACTGGACTGTGTTGGTGCGAAATAGCCCTAAAATTGAACGATGAAACAAGTTGACGGTCTTCCTACTTTTGTTGAAAGAAACGTTCAACGAACCGTTGATTCATCCAGATTGAACGGCAAGTGAAAAATGTAAACAGCTGCCGACGCCGACGCCGACCCGTGCCGCCAACATCGGTATAGAAAACAGTGGGAGAGGTGGCAGCCTACGGAAGATGAAACAGTGAACTGCTGCGAACTGGATGAAAATATGTAAACAAGGATGTTCAATTTGGATGAATTCAATCTGAGTGATTCATTTTGGTTGTATATCCAAAGTGACACAGTGTAAACTCTGCTTTACCGTCGAATCTCTGCTGTAGATTTTTGATTTTTCAGAAACAGTGGCATTGTGCGAGATGTGAAACAACTGGATGAAAATATGTAAACAAGGATGATTACACTGATGTAGATGTAGATATCAAATGTGATATAGTGTAAACCCTACTTTAGCTTTAAGTTGATTCAGAGATTCAACTGCTTCAAACATCAGTACAAAACTAGACAATGCAAAGTTTAAAATTAGTCAAATTAGACTGTGTCTTACCAACTGGACTTAGATCTTTGTTAGTAGGTAGGTTGGACTTATCAGGCTTTTCTTTCAGCTTGTAAATTATCCAGTAAATATTGTTCTTCGTATCTTCATCATGTCCGGCTATTCTGTAAATGTAGTGGCCTATGTTAGGGTAGTCTTTCGCTCGAAAATCGTAAGCAGGGTCGTAGTTTATAGCTAGCTGAAAAAATAATATAGAGGGTGTTAGAAAATAGTGTATTTTTTTTTAGTAGGTTGGTTGTAAGTCGGCTGGCTGTCTAGTGAATAGGCTGTGGTAATAGTATACTTTCAAAAAATGGGCAAAATATGATTGCCTAAAGACACTTTTAGTTTGTTTATTTGACTTACCTGCATTACATTATAAAATGATGAATTTTGAGGAGCTGTAACATTTACAGATTTTTCTCCTAATATTTCTGTACCAATCCATAATGTGTATGAAACAGTTACAGTTACATCAGAATCATTACCTGCAAAAATATTTAAATTATAATCTAGTTTACCTAACCATTTTTTAAATTAAATAAAATAAAAATATGATATTTTAAAATATTAATTTACTTACCTTCCATATCACTGAAATCTTCTGTTGCAGCTGAAACTGCTAAAAATAGTATTAAAATAATAAAATAAGTTAAATTTGTGTTCATGTTTAAAGCAAAATGAAGGTAGGCTATGTTATGTAGGCTACTGCCAATATGCCAATATGTGATCATAAACAAACTTACCTTACAAATATATAGTCTATTTTATGAGTTATTTTATTTATTTTTAGATAAAATATCAGGTTTAGATACTGAAAGCTGAAGTGGTTTAATAATAATTCCAAAGTTGAATGGAAATATATTTATGTTCTAAATTTAATAAACAGTTCCTAAAATAATATTATTATGTATTATTGTTTTTTAATTATTTATATAGAAAGATAAATATCTTTTACTGTAAAAATTGCTGGTAGAATTTTTAGAAATTAATTTATTATTTATTTGAATAAAATAGTTCTTAAAATAATGTACAATAATATTTATAACACTTTTTTTCATTCAGACACATCTCAGTCAGGTTTACGAAAATAATTACAGTAAAAATAAAAATGGTTTTAAGCTATACTCTGTTTTTTTCTCAGGTAAGATTTCGACAGACGATGACAGAAGAAAAGCAGATGACGTCCCATACCAATCTATTTATTTTACTACAAAAAGTTATCAAGTGTGCTATATTTTTGGAAAGGTAATTTTAAATTCTTTTCAGTTAGTTAAAAATATAGAGGGTGTCCCAAATAAAAAATCAATTTCTCTGTTGATAACTCTTAAATTATTAATTTAAAAAAAATTCTACTTAAACCATTAAATTCTATGTAAAAAGGTGCTTTGGAAATGTTTTCATAGAAATACAAAATTTTCCATAGCAAAAAAGTTACAGCGATTTGTTAAAAATGCACATTTTTGAAAAACACCCCGTAACTCCGAAACGGTAACAGATATTGATATGCGGTTTTCATCATCATGTTTTTGATGAAAATTGAGCTCCAGGCACCGATATTAGTTCTCGTCCATCTCCTATAGAAAAGGGTGTTTCCATTTAAAAGCGTCGAATTTGACCCACCCTGTACATAAGTTATATTGATAAATATAATCGTAAATGCGGGTTTCAAAGTTTCATAAAGCTTGAAAGTAAGAAATAGTTCTTTTTTATATTTTTTTCGTATGTGGTGTCTTGTTCGTGTTTGTTTTGTATTATAACACATACCGTTTTTTATTAAATAAAATAACTCGATTACATTTTTTCAGTTGTATACAGTTTTTTTCACAGTATTTTGAAGTAATCACTTGTCAGTCAAATTTTAAATATATTAATTTCCTGCTATACGTTCCAGTTGTACCAACTTATTTATTTGTAAAATAAAATAAACTACTTTGAAAAAAAAATGACAGACATTTCTATCACTGTCAAGGATCTTCTCGTTGGACAGACTATACATGGTCTCACTACACTCTCCTCGTTAGGTAACTGTAAGAGCCCCCACAGAGGCTCAGTTCTTTAACACATACTGACAGCGTAAGTCAGTTTGCGCAGTCTAACCTGTAATTACCAAACTACCGCTTGACGTAGACATGCGCAATTTTATAGCGCAGCTATTTCTACAGTGAACTGAGTACGCACCCACTAATAGTTTGTGCAATAAAGAAATGTTTTTAATCCTGTCTAGTGGAGTGCTTAGGCCTTTATGGGATACAAACCTCGGAATTCATTTACTGTGAACGAATTTTTATAAAACTTTAAGTTTACCCATTTAAATTCGTTGCTTTCACTTTAGTATTTAAATATATTTAAATAGTATTTAATAGTATTTAAATAAACACACATATACAAATGCATACATACAATATGGCTTCGTATTCCGGAAAAGCTCTGTATCAGGATTCCTATTTGAGATTTTCACTCCTAACCTTTTACAAAATATGTGTTTAATGGTAGTTCACATTTCAAAAATATTTTTATAGATATACAGCTAGGATTGGTCAAATATATATCTATAAAGGTTTAGTTCCGTGAATTTGCTATAAAATTTCGGTTCCAAAAATACTTTAATGCCATAGAGTATACTAAGTGGTTTTTGAATTATGACCACGTCCATGAGGACGTCAATCTAGACGTCCAGGAACCTTCGTATGAGAACTTCTAATCGAGACGAACGACTTAAGTAAGTTTATCGCTCAGAAACCGCCGTTTTCAAATTGATAACGAATTGTACTTAAAGAACGCACATATTAACTAACGGACTATAAGAAGAAGATTAAATGAAGCAAATGTTATGTCAATAAGGCCTGCTTCGGGACCAGAACTTACTAGATGTGTTGACTAGGCCCATAAGCAAAGGCATGGTCTTAATACATGGAAAGCTGTTAAGCGAATATTTCCAACAAAAATAAAGCTAATGAGATTAACCAAAAAACAAACCACCGAGAAAGGATGTATCTAGATGATAAAATGATTTTTAAATTTCTTGCTGTTTTAACATTTGTTTTCCCTCGTATAATTAACAGATGGGGAGTTTAATTTTTAATTTAGAAAAAGATACTAAAAAGTCAAATAATTTGTCTACACATTGCTTAAAAAATCATCAAAATCGGCCCATTAAAACAAATTATATTAACCTTATTATATTAACCTAAAATACATACATCAAAGTTTTAAGGTGTCCATTTTTCTTGCCGGTGAATGTATTTGAAAAACTATACATTTTAGTCATATACTTTTCAAATGAAACGAACCTTTATTTTTTTTTACTAGAATCCAAAAATCAATTAATATATAGGGCGTTCCATTACAAAAAACATAACTTTGATGTGTAACTTTTTTTGGGGACACCCTGTAGAACTCTACATAATTTTAGAAAATGCTTTAAATTGACTTACATAAACTCACAAAATTTCACTTCAATACAGACTTTTGTTCTCCTTGCAAAAACCGCGTCGTATATGACGCGCCACCCTGTATAATTCGCTTTCAATCAAAATTTGAATGATTAGAATATAAGCAGAATAGATATAACTTATCAATTAGATTTATTTATTTCAATAAATTTACTTAGAAAAAGAATTAAAAAAATCAAAAATTAAGAAGGAAATAATTAAGAATTTACTAAAATAAAAAATTAAAAGCAACGAAAAAAAATGGGTAAACATTTAAGTATTTTATCTATAAAACACAATACAGAAGGTTTCACATTAATACATTGACAGTAATTGAATTCCGAGGTAAAAGTCTCTGGGCACTCAACTAGTCATCGTATTCCTAAATTTTTATTTTCTATAAACAAAGAATTATTACTATAAACAAAAAAAAACTGTTTACTGAAGTTCGATATTTTCTTTCAAGTTTTTAATAGACTTGTCTCAGAAACTTTGGACAAAAATGAACTGAACGAACAAAAACAAGTTGAGACTTTGAAGTTTGCGCAGGCCAAATCCAAGCCTACAGATAATATAAAAATTCCTCTCAGGCTAAGCCAACAGCTTGTATAGTCGACCAGAAGTTCCCACATACGTGTCGATATGTCTGAAGGAATGAGGTTGGCACATAAATGTCTGTGCGATAAATTTGAACGTCTGTGGCGACCTTTATTATGTAGTATTTGGTAGTAGTTTGGTTTTATTAGACCTGGTTGTACTAACTAAAGCGTTCTGTAGTAGTTATGTTGAGACATTTTTTATAAAATAGTTTTTATTGTTATGTTTACTTTTGAAAGTTTAAATAAAACTCAGACAACATAACTTAAAATTTTATTTAAATTACAATTGCTTTTACACAATTACCAGATTAGAAGCCGAGTATACGAATAGACTTATCTTACAAAAAATAATTCCTAGCTTTATAACAAATATGCCTTTGTTTTAACGATCGATTTCTTAATCTAATATCTACTTTTGGAGGTGTTACACCAAAAAGGATGAGGAAAAGGCATAGTATTGTCAAAATAATTTTTCAAAATATATTTTAGTAAACCCAAAATTCTCTTTACCAAATACTTTAAGCCTAGCTATGAAAAAGAATTTTAGGTCTCTTACACAATTATTATTGTTGCTTATTAGTAATTATAAACTTCAAAAATTATCTAACAAAGATATAAAATTCTAAAACAAAAATACATATCGTGTAAAAAAAATTAATATAAAAATAAATAAACAAATAAAAAATATAGAAGTAGTATCACAGTAGCTAGAGAAGAGAAGAATCTATATTATTAAGTAGAAAATCTCTTTGCTGTCTATAATTATTGAAGTTTATTATAAGTTATCCGATCAAATTTATGTATATTTATAAATGTATTATTTTTTCTAACTCAATATATGTAGGTATAGATAGTTAGATAAATGTGGCACATTCAGAAATTTTATTTAGAATATATTCGATAAAATACCGCAAGTATTCTTTAAAATATACTATATAGGTAGCTTTTTTATATGGTGTTTGTTACAAACAGCTACGACAGTTATAAAAATTACAGGGTCTTTATTTTATTTTTTGTTCGCATTATTTTTATACGAAAGCGTAGAGCCATCGCAACATTGAAAAATATTTTTAGCAAAATTTACACTTTTTCTGTAAATTTACAAATTTTCTGTAAATTTACAGATTTTCTGTAAATTTACACTTTTTCTGTAAATTTACACTTTTTCTGTAAATTTACACTTTTTCTGTAAATTTGCACTTTTTCTGTAAATTTACATTTTTTCTGTAAATTTACACTTTTTCTGTCAATTTCTGCGTTAGTGGCAACAGTGGTGCATTATTCTACGAGTAGTTCCCATCGAATTCCGTTCTACGCCAGTTTATTCAAAAAAAGACTTCACTAGTAAAGAAAGAATTAGGGAACCACCACTGCGGCAATTAATTGAAGAATTGAAGACATGCGGACTATATGAAAAGATTAAGCAATATCCTAATACTCGGATATTGCTTAATCTTTTCATATAGTCTTTTCATATATACATTTGAATATACATTCAAATATATATTTTGTTCTGAAGCCACACTCTCTTCAAAAATACTTGAAGAATTATTCCTCATCGTCTATACTGAACCTGGATCTAACACCCATCTACAGAAAAAGTGTAAATTTACAGAAAATCTGTAAATTTACAGAAAATATGTTAATTTACAGAAAAAGTGTAAATTTACAGAAAAAGTGCAAATTTTGCTAAAATTATATTTCATTGTTGCGATGGCAGCTCTACGCTTTCGTATTTTTAAAATAAAGCATGTGAAGTAAATTTTTGCATTCACCCTTTATTTAAGCTATATCCTAACACTAATGTCAGTTTTTATTTTTATATATAAGCCTTAAATAGCCTAAATTGTATAGTAAATTGTTATTAATACTGCTAAGCAGATAAATAATAATACATCAATGGTCTTAATTTAACAATATAAAATAACATAAAATATACAATTTTAAGTTTGATTTAAATAAAAATGTCTGGAATGTATATTGTATATAGCTCACTCTTAGATTCAAAAATACGAGTTTAGATTTTTATGTTTCTATTCTACTAATATAATAAATAAACATCACCCATTCCAATATTATTATCTTGTTTCACTACTTATAGTTGGTTTATTTCAAGCCAGCTGTTTTGTTTTCGCTTTTTTTTGTATTCTACAACAGAGGAAACTTAGAGTTTCTTGTACCAGAAGAGGTAGTGGTCTCCCTCTTCAATGAGTAAATCGTCAACACCTAAAAATAAAAAAAAACATTAAGTGTTTAAAAATTGTTTAGCTATTCTTATGTTAAAAACAAATTGATATCCTTTATAAATAATCTAGCGTATTGCTGATACCTTCTAAAGTGGTATCCTCCAACGCAACGGTCTAAGACACTCGAGAAATTGTGACGTTTTTTTTAGTATTGAAAATACTTATAGCCGCATTTATATGGGACCCGTCTTTGAAAAAACGACATGCTAGATGCGAGTTCGAGTTCAATAACCTGCCTAATTAACTTGTCAACACGTAAGTTGATAGTTTAGCCGTAATAAATGCCGTAATAGAGCAAGGACGTTCGAGGGCCGATGCCGAAATGAGGTCCTATCAGTGTGTGTGTGTGTGGGCCAACAATTTTATGGATATGTCTGGGCCTTAGTTTGGCTATTTTAATCTAACTCTTTCCGTATGAGAAGCAAGGGGCATATTATACGTGAAAGAGCGGAATCACATAAATAATAAATTTAGACTAATGCAATATTTTTTCTTGGCGCGTAGGATAGGTAAATGCATTAAAGGGAATAATTAATTAAATCATTAAGTTCCAAAACATAATAACTCGGATCTCATTGGATCTGCTGATACATTTTGCTAAAATTTAGGCTATTAGGACCTATATTTTTTATGATTATTATTTTTTTAATTAACAATTTAGGACAAAGAAAAAGCTTGCATGGTTTCCACCGCCAACAGGCGTAAAAACAAACGAATCCAAGGCTTTGCCAAATATTTATTGGGAGAAGTTTTAATCGTTTGAATATTGTTGTAAAATTATCATTTAATTAGTGCTAACTTATCAAAGTTACAACACGGCGAAATTTCAACAAAATCGGCCAACGGATCTTTGAGATATTAATAAAAAAGGTCTATTAGAAAACACCTTGACACCCTGTATCTAAAATTATACATCTCCGGACACATGTTTATATGAACTTTTTACCTTAAAAATACTCAAAGAATCACCTCCTGAAATTTGGCTAGATAGGTACTTAATTAACACCCTGTATTTAAAAATGGCTAGCTAGTGATTTAGTAAGCTAGGTATGTTTATTTTAATGGAAAAAAATGCATTTGATAAAAAATAAACAAACCCATAATATAAATACTATACACTAATTAATTAATTTTAAGTAATAAAATTATATAAGGATTCTTGCCACTTAACTGCTGATATAGAAATTTAATTCTAATTTTCTATTTTATTAATTTTAAATGTATCTAATATTATATAGGAACTTTAATAATTGAAAAATGGACAGGAGCACTTAAAATCACTTCATAGAATATACCAAATATGCAAAAATTCCAATAAAAAAAACACAAATGGCACATTAAAATCTGCATTATCTTAAATCAAACTATACTTAAACGGCTAATATAATATAAAGTGACAAGACTAAATAAAAGTGACAAGACGCCGACATCGATAACGCGATGAGCAGTTTTTAATAATAATATTCCGACTTCCGAGTTATTATTACATACTTGGTTTTACAATTTATTGTAATACAGTAGCATTCCTTCAAATAAATTTTTATATTATTGGTATTGCATTAATAAAAATATAGATCTAATCTAAACTGACCACCTTTTTTGCATATTTCAGGCTATATATACGTGGGTAGGAGCCCGTCATAGTGTCGTGACCATTCACGAATCCGCACACGTTTCTCTCCATCATTATAATTTTCCTTACTAAATTCTTCACTTTTACAAAAAGACATCACGATAAAAATCAAATATCAAAATTATTTAACGTTGCGAACGGTTCACATGTTTACTATACATATGTGGAATATATTTGTGAATGGCAATTAACGATACGTTTACGTTAGACTGCCGGAGTGCTGACGTCACGAATGTCAAATTGCTTTCCAAACAAGGTTTAGTTCTTTTATATTTCTATTGAGCTCTTCCAAATGACGTCACAAGTTAACATAAAATGTAAAAAAACAGGTGATTGACGACAACCGCCGACTTGTGTCTGGTATTTTCAATACGTCTGTGATGGTTGCGCATGTTGCAAAATCTGTGAATTTTTTAAACTGTCTCCTCAATGAACACCTCAGTAGATTGAAGCTAAGAAACAATGGCGAATGCAGATTCTGTAGGGAAAATGGGGAAACAGCAGAACACCTCATCACTGAGTGCGTGAAGACTACAACCATTCGTGCAATGTAAAACCATAGAATGTGGAAAAAATAGTTATTTTTATACTGGAAATTACTTACCAACTGGTGCTACAAGCTGATTTGCCGGTGGCGCTGTTGGATCTGGCAGTTCAGGTAATCTGTAGAGTAACCAGTAATTGTATCCCATTGGTTCTTCCTTGTATCCAGCCAAGGTGTGAACGTAGTGCCCATTTGGCCATTCTGAGGCTTCAAATGTAAAGTGTGGATCCAGATCCATAGCCATCTGTGATATAGAACATTTACTAAACTATCAATTTTTTGTTTATTTGGCTAAGTATACCGGGTATTGCATCGTCGGACGGGACATAGGAAATCCCATGTAAATTGTAATGGGGTCAATTATTGGCTTCCGTAATTATTTTAGAGAATAATTCTATTTAGGTTTATTGAAGAGCACTAAAACCCACATTCAAAAGAATAACTTTAGATAATTTTGATTAGCTCGTTTACGAGTTATCGCCGGTTTCTTTTTAAATATTTCTCCTTTCTTATGGCCCTGTATTTACTTATGAGCACAAGTCAAGGTAAAAGATAACTGTCAAGTGAAGTTGTCATTTCAGAAATTTACCTATTTAGTGCTTTATTATTATTGAAAACTCATTCCTACATCGGAAATCTTAAAGATGTCTTTATAAATACAAATTAATATGAATTAAAGTAAAATAAAGTAATCAATTACAAGGTTAATTATAGTATTATTACAATATTCAATAACTTATTAATTTAGGTACTATTAAATTGTTAGAACTTTAGGATTTAAGAAGATGTTCAAATATTCCTCCATCGACTGCTAGACAATAACCCAGGCGATCATAAAATTCTCTTGTTACATTCGCTAGTTGGTAAACTGAAATTCTATTGCATTCGGCAGAAATAGCATTTTTTAACTCGTCTAGATTTGGGTATTTTTTATCCTTGTATATTCTGTTTCTTAAATGGCCCCAGAGAAAGAAATCATTTGGCGAAATATCAGGAGACCTTGCTGGCCAATTTACTGTATGATTTAGGCCAATAACGTTTCCGTTAAAACTATTGTCTAAATATTCCCGAACAGCCAGGGTACTATGTGCCGGGCAGCCATCCATTTGGTACCAAACTTCCTGATTTTTCCTAGCGGCATCATGTAAAGCAGGTAAAATATGATTTTCGAGTGGTTCCAAATAATATTCTGCATTTAAATTTCGGATACAGAGCAGCAAACATGTCCGACACCTTTTGATAACTATTTCCTTGATAATACCATTTAATCATCAATACTTTTTCTTCGGTAGTGTAATTTATGGCTAATATTTTTTAAATAGATAAATTTCTAAAATGACAACTTCATTTGACAGTTATCTTTTACCTTGACTGGTGCTCATAAGTAAATACAGGGCCATAAGAAAGGAGAAATATTTAAAAAGAAATCGGTAACGATAACTCGTAAACGGGCTAATCAAAAATATCTATTAAGTTATTCTTTTGAATGTGGGTTTTAGTGCTTTTCAATAGACCTAAATAGAATTATTCTCTAAAATAATTAGGGAAGCATTGGCTAGAGGAGGCATTGAATAGAGGATTCAATTATTGAATTGACCCCATTAAAATTTACATGGGATTTCCTATATCCCGCTCGACGTTGCAACACCCGTATAATAATAAAACAAAATATCTCCTTGGACTGACATTATCTTTAATTTTAAAATTATACATGTTTCGGTGAGAGATATCACTGACAATTATCAGATGTGAGCTAAATCTTAAAATTACTGATCATATGGTCAGTTGTTTTAGAATTTAAATTAGATCAGACCATTCACTCATGACGGACTTCGATGCAGTCAAGTAGAAGGTTGTCCGCTGAAGACGCCGACATCATAGCGTTTTATAAGCTAAAAATATAATATATTTGATTTCATTGTTTCACCTCTTTGTGTTTTTATGTTCATTAAGTCTTACATTTTGTCGTGACACTCATCAGAGTAACTATTATAAAACTGTGTAAAATTGTGAAATTAAAGTCAATGTCAGTCCATGAATATATTTCGGTTAATAATAATTATGAATTATTCATCATTCCCTACAGTTTTCGAACATAACATGCCCATTAACTAAACATAAATTAAATATTATACAAGGTAAGTCTAAATAGGTGCAAATATTTTAGGTGTAGTATATTTCGATCCCAGAAACACGATTATGAGGTTTTTTTCGCGAAAGAAAAATTTTGGAATTTTTTTTTAGTTTTTGGTTAAAAAACATAATTTCTTGATAATATTGCAACATAGGTAGTACATTAAATTTACAAGAAAGAAAACCCAGAAAGGATCCAGTGGTTTAATTTAAGCAAAAAGTCATTTTTTTGGAAATTTTCAAAGTAAAATAACTCGGTTATTTTCTAAAAACGGTAAAGAGAAAATCTTTTATTGAGATCTACCAGCCTTGAAAATATTTGCACTTATTTAAGTCTCACCCTCTATAATAATAACTAATCTAAAAATAATTCTAGCTTGACTAACATTTACTTAAGAATGAAATACGGTTCAGTACCTGCATTATTGAATAAAACGATGTGTTTCTTGGAGCTGTAATGGATATTGTACAGTTTTCTGTAATATTCGAACCAATCCATAGTGAATATGTGACAGTGACATTGCGAATTTCACTATCATTACCATGGGGTGATAGTGATTTGGTCAGGCCTTCGATATCTACTAAAATGCATAAATATTTTGTTACGAACTTCATAGAGGCTTAGAAGAAACTTTAATACTATTAACATTGTAAATGTTAACAATGTTCAATTTAAAGATCTAAATGAATCTGAAACAATATTAGTTATAAAAGCAAATACCGTGCTGGCAACTGTTACTTTTGTGTCGGCATTTACATGTGTGGAAGTAAATCGCATAGGGATCTTATTAAGTCGGAGTGGAAGAAATGCGACCGACCGACGCGACGCGCGACGGTGTGCTCTTGCGGCGTTGCCGATACGCCTTTCCCTATCAAGTAAAGTAAAATCACGATCGCAAACCGCTTATTTTTAAAAGGCTTTTTTTCAAGAGATAGTTACTAGAATATCGTTAGGGTGTCATTTTTTTTTGTAACGAGAAAACGTCAGTAATCGCGATAATTTAAAAACTCAACTTTTTAATACATAACAGGCCATAACTCAAGAACCACTTTAGAGATTGATTTTCAAGATCGGATATTTTACAATATGTTTACATAAGAAAAATTCGATAAGGTTGTTTTTTCCATTCAAAAATTGTAAACAATCCATCCATTTGCTTTTAGAGCATAGCAATTTCCAGCAATCGTGTTTTTTTTTTATTGATAAAAGATTTTCACATACTGTCTACAAAGATAATACAGCAGAAATATTAATAAAGTTCTTGAAAGAACTACAATCTATTATTTCTAATAGATTTCGAGATATGGATTTTTGAATTCAGAGTTCTAATAGCGCGACCACTATCGAACATCCACTCAATTCCACTTATTTTTACCAAAAATGCAAGTGTTTCTAGATTGCACATAAAAAAATTCAAGCTATAGGGAAAATTACAACGACTCGTTAATAAATAAACAAATTAAGTATCACGAGACGTAATTAAATCGTGAAGCTGAACGCATGACGCACACCTTTCCCTAGAACTTTAAGTACTGACAGAGGTATTGATTGGGTCGACCGGTCAACTGCGACAAATCTGCTATATCCCCTTCCACGTCTCTTAGCGATGTGCACAGTTCTCTCTTTGGTCAGTACATTATAAACGCATTGTCCTCTTCTTACATACGGAAATCTCGACCCAAGACTAACCTTTGCCCTTAGTATATTAATATAAAAAAGTAAATAGAGCAAAATTACCATTATTATCGTAATCACTATCGTGTCGTCCACAGTCCATAAGTCTAATAACACCTAATCCTTTGTCAATCAAGGCCAGCAAAACGTCAGAGGTCAAGCCCGCATCTGTGTAGGCTCCGTCAGGGTCTTGCCTTGATTCTAAATAAGCCTTTGCCGCTGTCTTGTTCCAATGGCTTTTCAATTCGGTCATGTCATCCAATGCCTTTTATAAACATAAAAATATGTATCGTAATCTCTTTTTATTCTTAATCTAAGGTAATCCCTACCTACTATATTATACTAATTACATACAGAGGATTCAAGTAATTGAAAGATACAGGGTGTCCCATATAAAAACTCATATTAGAAAAATCTCAAAAACTAAAAGAGATACAAAGATGATTAAATTAGATAGAAGTTGTGCTTTGCAAAACTCTATGGCAATCTGAACGCACACAGAAAAAATCAAAATCAAAATCAAAAATTATAATGTTTGAAAAAAAATATTTTTTGTTAAAAAATGAATTTTTTAACAATTAAATTTTTGAATAATAAATTAGTAAAATTGACACAAAAATTCTTAATTAAAACGGTTTTTAAAATTTGCGCTAATAATCGCGTAATTATCATAATATATTCTTAAAGTACCTAGGCCTAGAAAAAAACTAAAAACTAGAAAAAAACACCTAGAAAAAAAAAGGTAAAGCCAATGGGTGCCAGCCATCCAAAGGATAGAAAGCAATAAAAAAGCAAACGATCTAGCTAGAAAAGGAGCGAACACTCCACTGACTGGACCAGAGCCGTTCTGATTTCCAAGTGGAAACCAACTTATAACGGAACTCTGAACTAGAACCTGGAAGATTCCATCCATTTCTCAGAACTTACAACCGATATAAATCTAAGATTTTCTTTGATTTAAGTAAGAACAATCTTCAGATTGTCATTAGTTTTTAACAGAACTCTGTCTCCTCAATGAACATTTCAGTATATGGATTGAAGCTAAGAAACAACGGCAAATCCAGATTCTGTGGGGAAAATGGGGAAACACCAGAACACCTCATCACTGAGTGCGCCGAGACGACAAACATTGGTACCATAAACTTTGGTAGGAGTGATATCACAGATGAGAACTCGCCTCTTTGACAAAGCCTTGATACTGTATGATAAGTTATAATTCAAGAAAGGAGGACACAATAGATTTGTAAGGTCGGTGTGATTAACTTCTCTTCTTATATACATTCTACATTCTTCAGCTAGAATCTTCAAAATCACGTTAAATCCGTCTCATTACGTGATAAAAACCTTATCAATAAGTTCAGAAATAGGCGAACAAGCACAATTTCAATTTCAATATCGCCCCTAGCGAATTCTAGCGGTTTTTAATACACGACTTTAGCGGGTTGTCATCTTCGACAGCTGGCAACCCTGCGTTCCAGGGTTCAACAAGGCGCAACTGTTCTTTAATTTAATCATCGTTGTATCTCTTCTGGATTACGTTATCCCTGTTAGTGTGCATCCAGATTATGATTGAAAATAAGTTTATTTTCATTTTTCTTAAATGTTAAAAATTGCTATGTTAAAGCGCTTTGTAGTTTATACCTATTTTTTTTTAGTAGTCTTACCTGCATTACCAAGGCTGTGTTGTACAAGTTGCCAAAACCTCCGTCCGATTGTTGCTGACGTGCCAAGCTAATGCTAGGTCTACGCAACGAGTGCTGAAGGTTCCTATGTCTGTGGTCCATCACTATACACCTTAAGGCCAAAATGGTCATGGCGACTGTATCTAAAATTCGTGAACAACAATATTTGTGGAAAACTGGGGAAGTACAGGGATGATTACTAGGTGAAAATGATGGTGATGGTAATTGAAAAGGAGTATTTAAAGGTATTAGAGTAAATAAGAATGAAATCAATAGAAAATAGTATATCTTAAAGCTCCATAATAGTAGGTAATAAATAATAGTAAATAGAATTAATTTATTGATGAATGATGTATCAGTAGCACTTACCGATATTGTGGTCCTTGGCCGTATTGGCGATGTCAAGTAGACGTCTGATTTGCTTCTTTCGAACGTGAGCTCTTGCGGTACAGGCCGCCAAAGTGACGTAGGCAAAATCTAATTACAGTAATAGTAAATAATAATTAACACGAGATAAAAAATAAATGGATTTAATCCAAAGGTTAGTTAAGGTTCTTTTGTTATGACTGACTTTTATATTAATTTTACAAATTTAAAGTAATTTAGTATTAACTACTTTATACCGGGTGCGTCTCAAATATGGCTCACCCCTATAACTTTTTGATTTTTTTAGATAAAACAACGAGATTTGTTATGTTAGTATGTGACATAAATTGGGATTGATTGACGTACTCAATTGTTTTCGGTCACTTCCGGTTTCACCGGAAATTACTACAACTGTTAATTTTTAAATGACACCCTCGGTATTTCCTTACTTTATTTGATAGAAAATGACACTCTGAATCGAATGACATATCATATGTCAACTTTTGACATTTTGGCATATGGTTTATTTGAAATTATAACATGCGGTTCATAACGACAATTTGACTCAAAATACCAAGTGTTTGGTATCAAATTATTTGTAAAAAATGTTTTTTCCAAATATGCTAATGAGCCACCCTCGTTCCATTTGAAAAATTTTAGATATGATTAAAAATACGATTTGGGCATCTTTTAACCGGCCAAGATAAGACACTAAAAACGTTAGACGATCAAATCTATTTTTCCAAGGCTCCTTGATTAAAAATTAGTGTTTTTAACACAGCCATGGCACTCTAGATTGAAATTTAAAATAGAATTTGTTTTTGAGTGACTATGTCAAAAATTTACATATGATATGTCATTCGATTCAGAGTGTCATTTTCTATCGAATAAAGTAAAAAAATACCGAGAGTGCCATTTAAAAATCAAAAGTTGTAGTCATTTCCGGTGAAACCGGAAGTGACCGAAAACAATTGATAACGTCAATCAATCCCAATTTATGTCGTATACTAACATACCAAATTTCGTTGTTTTATATGAAAAAATAAAAAAGTTATAGGGGGTGAGCCACTTTTGAGACGCGCCCGGTATATAAATTTAAATCTATAATGAGTATTGTAGCGAAACGAATAGATTTTTACAAATTGTAAGTTTTGATTTCGTTGACGGGATATTAGAGCTACAATTTAAAATATTTTTACAAGATAGAAAGTGTCCCAAATAAATATAAAATATCAAAGTTGGATTTTATAAAATAACACCCTGTATATCTTTACGTTTTTAATTCCTACGATTAAAATAAAGGTAAATTTGATTAAAATTTACTGCACTTCAATATTACTGTTTTTAAAATATCCACGATTTTGTGAAAATGCAGTAACAATTTTTATGCTTCATTTCTCTAGGCGTAAAAACCAAATATTGTACTGAAGTTTCTCTATTTACTAAATTTTATAATAATAAAAATAATAATACTACCTTATACAGAGTGTCTAAAAATTAATTTGAGATAATTAGTAGCTGTAAACGAATATAACTTGTTTAATTTAAATGGAACACTCTGTATATTTTACACGAATCCGATGCACAATTTAATGGTCTATCAAATTGTAAAGGTGAATAACCCTGTATATTCTCGACACATATATGTTATTTTTTTTAAATATATATTTTTAAAGCATAACTATTTTTTTTAAATGAAATGCTTTGAAGTACTTACCTAAGTCGTTGGTAGATTCATGATGTTGAAGTGTACCGATCAAATCATGACCGTGAAATTGCCTGGGATCATAACATAGAGCGTTCAAAGCTAAGCAGTACTCAGCAAGTTGTGACGGTGGTATTGGTACTTCGTGATGTCTAGGAATATAAATTTGTTTAAATAAAATGAAGCGTATACAGAGTATATCTTTGGGAACTACTTCAATTGCAATAAAAAAAACGTGTATCTAGAAAAAGTCTGATCCAGTTTCGTTAGGAAAAAAAGGCATACTAATTTTTTAGACTGCTTTATATAATGTTGTATTTAGTACTCAACAATAAAGATTAATTTTGATGGAATACTGTCCATATTCTCGCGAAGCTATCAATAAATTAACAAAAACAAAACCAAATGGATAGAGAAAAAAATGGCGCCGTGAGGCACGTATAACCGCCCATACTAAGAAATTATAGGAATTTATATCCATAAAAGGAATTTTCCAATTTTTTTTTATCTCAAAAACTGCGACTTTGACTGATTTGGATGTTATTACAAATTTTGTTGCAAATATTATTCCTAATCTTAAATTGAAAACCGCGTTTCGCTAGCTACTGTAATTTTGGAGTTACGATTTTTTAAAAATTTTAACCCCCTCCCATACCCCCTTACCAACCCCCCACCCCCACCAAAAACTAATAGCCAGATTCTCGGAGGCCACAGTATTTTTGTGCCAAATTTGGTAAAAATTGGTTTAGCGGTTTTTGATGAAAATTGGTTGGAAACTTTAAGATAAGGCTTTTTGTTGTAAATAAACATGATAATAAAGAATAAACGACTGCTGCGATTTATTTTCTTTTGAATTTTGTGTTCAGTAGTAAAATCACGATTGTCCGATAATTTTCATTAGATCCAAAAAAATAAAAAAATACCTTATGTTGGATTAACAGATGTACAGAAGGGAAGAATTAATGCTCTCACCGAACAAGGAATGCTCCAAAGAGACGTAGCAGAGATAGTAGGCGTTACCCAGGGTATTTTATCGAAAACATATGCAAGGTACTTAGAATTAGGAACACACAAGGATTAGGACCAGACAAAGTCGTCAAAGAGTCACAACTGAACAACAAGACCGCCTTGTGGGCCAAATTGCTAAAATAAATCCCAATGTTTCTCATCCAGAGCTACAAAGACAACTTCTGGCAGCTACAGGTGTGAACGTTTTAGTTGAATCTATAACAAAAAGGCTTCGTGCTCGAAGATTTTATAGTAAGAGAGAGTTACGGATCTCACAGTTATCTTGGCAAAATAAAATTGACCGGCTAAATTGATGCCTTCAACATCAAAACTGGACAACTGAGAATTGACAAAATGTTCTTTTTTCGGATGAGACCAGAATTGGCCTAAGATCAGATAACCATCGAATTCGGGTTCTCAGAGCTCCAGAAAGACGAGCGCGACTACAGGCCGCCAAATCTGTACCAAGATACAAAGGAGGAACTATAATGTTCTGGGGAAGTAGTATACTGGGAGCAAAAACTCCATTGTTACCACTTCAACAAACTTTAACGGGTCAGAGATATGTTGACTTGGTGCTAGACCCAATCGTTAGTCTTTGGAGAGTTGCAATTGATTATAATTTTAACTTCTTGTACGATAGTGCACCTCCCCATACCAGCAGAGTCACTAGATGAAAGTCTTGAAACGGAAGGTGTCATAGTTTTGGACTGGCCTGCATGTTCAACAGATCTAAACCCTATCGAACACTTGTGGGACTAGCTCAAAAGAAGGGTTAGAGCTCGTCGAAACAATCTAGGAAATCTTGTACAGCTTATTGATGCAGCATTAGCAGAATGGGAAAACATACCCCAAGACAACGTTGATAATTTAATAAGAAACATGCCAGCGCGAATAGAAGCTTGCATAAGGTTTAGAGGTGGCAACAAGGAATATTAAAATTATCAATTCTCTTTTTGTTTTTGCTTTTTGGCCATTAAAAATTTAAATCTTAATTTCGTTTCAGAAACCAAAAAATACCATTTTGTTTATTTTGGGAACTGATTAATTTTTTTTATTGCTATATGGATTATTTTTCATTAAAAGTCATTGGTAGGGACTGAGTTTTATTCATAAACACAAAATTTTCATAGGGCTCAAAAATTATGAAAAATAATAGATGATTCCATATAAGTTTGGTTGTGTGTATTTGTATTTATGACCCAAATAATTGAGTGAAATTAAAAAAACTTTTTTTTTGCCGATCTTATTACCCTACCATACCTGTTGGTATAGTCGGCTATTATTTTTAACTGTATGGTCGGCTAAAAAGGAGAATTATGTAGTACTGAAATATTATGTAGTATAAGACATGAAGCAGGATTGATTGATGAATTCAATTCTTTCCGATCACTTCCTGTTTCACCGGAAATTACTACATCTTTTTATTTTCAAATGGTACCCTAGATTATCTTTTGTTACTTTAGTCGATAGAAAATAACATTTCGAATAAACTGACATCTCATTTGTCAACTTTTGACATTTCAATCTAGAGTTATGGAAATTTGACTCGAAATAGCAAGTATGCGGTACCAAATTATTCGTAAAAAATGCCTCTTCCAAATATTCTAATAAGCCACCTTCACAGTCACATTTGAAAAAATTGAGTTGATGAATTTGAAAAATGAATGATTAAAAATACGGTTTGGCCATTTTTTAACCGGCCAGGAAAAACATTAGACGATTCATTTTTCCAAGGCTCCTTGATTAAAAATTAGTGGTTCTATCACAGCCCTCGTACTCTAGATTAAAATTGTCGACGAAGATATGAAAAGTTCATATATAATATGTCATTCTATTGCGAATGTAATTTTATATCAAATAAAGGAAAAATCTACCGAGGCGAGGGTACCATTTGAAAATTAAAGGTTGTAGTCCTTTCCGGTGAAACAGGAACTGACTGATGAAGTGAAACTAATTGAATATGTCAATCAATCCTGATTTATGTCATATACCGGGTGGCCAACTAAGAATGGACGCCGGCTGTATCTCAGAAACTACTTATCGTATAACTTTGGGAAAAAAATTCTAATAATTAAATCGACCAAGAGAAATCGCTGAAAATTATTTTCAAGTTCGAAAAATGCCCACTAGGGGGCGTATTTGGTTTTTTCTCAAAAATATGCAGTTGAACAGGTATTTTAAATATTACTGTTGTAATCATCGAGAAATTTGTAATTTTTTGATATAGAGTATTTTGCTCTATCTCATAAAATAAAGTGGTGGGGGAAGATTAAACTTGCTTTTATTAAAATAAGGATAACTCTGGTTTAGGTTATGCGATTTAAACAAACCAGGGCTCGTTTAAAAGAGCTTTTTTTCCTTAATGATCTCCAGTATAAATTTTGTTTCCACAATTTTTTTCGTGGTAGCAGAGGGTGCTGTTTGACATCATAACAGATATTGCACTTTTCCGTAAAAAAAATAAATAGGAGGCTATATTTCTCTTTGCACAGTTAAATAGAGCACAAAATTTCCAAAAGATCAGCGCAAACCACAACTCGGTGTCATAGTTTTGTCATCTTCTCTATAACCGGAGATATTAAGAGAACAAATCATGTTATGCTGCCGCTTAGGATTATATAGTCTAAAAATTATCGTAGTAGGCTAGGAAACAAAAAAGGTAAATTGGTTACGTCAAAATATAAAAACATATGTTTTAATTTCATTTTAATACCATTTAATTATTATTTATCCATGTTCGTTCTTGATTCGACTCCATAAATTAAAACCCAGGTATATTGAATCCGATGACCTAGCTAGCCATGGAAATATGCCGCTCCAGCATCTCTATCTACTAAAGTAAGTGGTATCCAAGAAGCCCCACACATTCATAGCAAAATAAGCGGCGTCACTGCCTCAACTACACCAACTGCATTCATGCTGACGAATTTGCAAAAAATGCAATTTCATCATGATGGATCCTCTAACAAAATTGGCAATTAATTTCTTAGAAATTATGAATAGTTCATTTCTTTCAGATAATTAAAAAAGTCCAGTCGTTCGCCATCCTAGAATTCCTGCGTAAACAGTTACCGATCAACGGTCTTGGTGCTAAACTACTTGAATCGAGGGTAGATTTGGACCAGTAGTGCATATTGTTAAGATTCGCACCTTCGTTCGATGCTATATGAAAAGTGGCCCAAACGACATAAACTTTATAATATAATAATAAATAACACGAAAAACAGGTAAAACACGAAAACAAGTGAAATCAAGGACAAACTTGGGTTAATAACTAAATGGCGTTACATGAAATAAACCCCTAGTTTTTGACCATACGAAATTCGGCCGTTTTCTGTTTTAACCAATATGGTGGCACAAAATTCCAAAAAATTTTAATAAAATTATTGATTGTCCGACTTTCAGACATTTTAATCTGAGAACTACTTACGTATAATCACAAACTAACTTAGGTTAGTCTGTGGTATAATTAACCAAGAAATTCGTAAAAATTTTATGGATGGATGATAATGTTACATAAACACGTTTAAATAATTATGACATCATTTTTTTTAAGAAAACGCCCGAAATTCGGATGCATAAAAACTGAACTTGAACGTTTTGATATTTTGACGTAACCAATTTACCTCTTTTTGTTTCCTAGCCTACTATAACTTTTAGACCATATAATCCTAAGCGGCAGCCTAATATGATTTGTTCTCTTAATATCTCCGGTTAGAGAGAAGATAGAAAGTTGCGGTTTGCGCTGATATTTTGGAAATTTTGTGCTCTATTTAACTGTGCAAAGAGAAATATAGCCTCCTATTTAATTTTTTTACGCAAAAGTGCAATATCTGTTATGATGTCAAACAGCGCCCTCTAGCTACCACGAAAAAAATTGTGGAAACAAAATTTATAGTGGAGATCATTAAAGAAGAAAAGCTCTTTTAAACGAGCCCTAGTTTGTTTAAATCGCGTAACTTAAACCAGAGTTATCCTTATTTTAATAAAAGCAAGTATAACCTTCCCCCACCACTTTATTTTATGAGATAGAGCAAAATACTCTATATAAAAAAAAATACAAATTTCTCGATGACTACAACAGTAATATTTAAAACACCTGTTCACCTGCATATTTTTGGGAAAAATCCTGTTTTCTGATTGGCTATTAGAGAAACGCCCCCTAGCGGGCATTTTTCGAACTTGAAAATAATTTCCAGCGGTTTCTCTTGGTCGATTTACTTATTAGAATTTTTTTCCCAAAGTTATACGATAAGTGGTTTCTGAGATACAGCCGGCGTCCATTCTTAGTTGGCCACCAAAGTCACACAAAAAATCTCGTTTTTTATCTAAAAAATAAGAAAGTTATAGGGGTAAGTTACTTTTGAAAAACACTCTGTATTTAATACGTAGTAGTCCATGTTCTTTGTCTACGTAATATATTAGGACACCCTAGTATAAATTTTGCTATTATAATCAAAGTAACTCCCCGAGATACACCAAACAACAAACAAACCTCCACAGCATAATCACGATTTCAATCTCCATTTGTTTGCTGGAGAGTTGCATCTCGTAGGCACTTGGTAAAAGGTCGTCCAGGACATCTTCGTATACGTTGAGAAGTTTGAGCGCCGTCAGCACTTTGGAAGTGTCGTTTCGCCAACTCCAGTCGCTTTCCCTTTGGATTTTCCGGAAAAATAACATTTTAGAAAACGACATTAAACAGGGACAAAAGTCTCTTTACGTGTCGTGAACCGTTTATCGAGTGAAGTAAAGGTAAATTGTCTTTGGAAGTTTTGAAAAAGATATACCTTCAGGACAATGCACAACATAATACATATAATACTATTTAGAGACTGAAATAAAGTTTTCGAGTAGGTTTTTGCTCTTCAGAGATTTAGTACTATAATTTTAATGGATAATATCAACATACAGGGTTGTTCACCACATACGACACGGAGTATTGTAGCTAAATGATTAGATTTTTACAAATTATAAATTTTGGGTTCGTTGAAGGGCTATTAGAGCTACAATTTAAAAATATTTTTACAAGATACAGAGTGTCCCAAATAAGTGAAAAATATTATAGTTGTGTTTTTTTAAATGGAACACCCTGTATATTATTCTATTTTTAGATTCTACGATTGAAATAAAGGTAAATTTGATTAAGGTTTATCACACTTAAACCTTACCGTTTTTGAAATATTTTCAATTTTATGAAATTACAGTAAAAATTTGAAGGCTTCATTTCTCCAAGGGTATCGAAGTTTTTAATACTAAATATTTACCGAAGTTTATTTATTGATCAGATATTTTGTTGCAATAATAAATAAAATACTATCTTATACAGAGTGTCTAAAAATTTGTATTAAATAATTACTAGCTCTAAACGACTATAACTTGGTTAATTTAAATGGAACACCCTTTATATTTTACGAGAATCAGATGCACAATTTAATTGTCTATCAAATTGTATTATACCATTTTTTACCTATCTCTTCAAGTTTTCGTAGAAAATGCATTTTCTTATAATTTAGACTTAATTTATCACTATACCCATCGAATACTGACATTTTAGATTACTTTAAAGATGTAAGAAATTTTGAAAGAGTACATACTAATTATTAAATAATATTGTCGATATATTTCGCTTATTTTATTAAAAGATAAAAACATTGTTTAAATATTTTTTGGTCAAGAATTAATATGATCCAATTATTCAAACTACATTTCTTATTGACAGTTTACGTGGATTAATAATAATTGCTCCAAATACTAAAAAATTGAATTTTGTGTGTGTATTGGAGAATGTGGTAAAAAGTAACACCATATAAATTTTATTTAATTTCTTGACGAATGCTTATTTATAAAAACAGATGTTCATTTTCATAACTTATTATTGTATTAATTTCTTAATCAAATGTATATTTATTTATTTTATTTTATGAATAATTCATTAATTAAAACAATTAAGTACGTAATTAACTAATTAACTAAATGGTGGTATATTAATAATAAGTAATAATTTTTATCCTCTTTTACAAAGATTTAGATAGTTTTCTTTTTTTAAATAAATAGGCTTACAATATTATAATTTTTACCACTTGTATTGTATGAACATTTTGTACAGATGTTGCTTTAAAAAAAATCTAAAATGTCAATATTCCATGGGTATAGTGAAAAATGAGGTCTAAATTATAAGAAAATGCATTTTCTACGAAAACTTCAAGAGATAGGTAAAAAATGGTATAATACAATTTTGTAGACAATTAAATAGTGCATCTGTTCCCGGTAAAATATACAGGGTGTTCTATTTAAATTAAACAAGTTATTGCCGTTTAAAGCTAGTAATTATTAATTATAAATTTTTGGACACTCTGTATAAGGTAGTATACTTTTTATTATTGCAACACAATAACTGATCAATAAATAAACTTCAGTAAATATTTAGTATTAAAAACTTTGATACCCTCGGAGAAATGAAGCCGTAAAATTTTTACTGCAATTTTACAAAATTAAAAATATTTCAAAAACGGTAAGGTTTAAGTGTAACAAACCTTAATCAAATTTACCTTTATTTTAATCGTAGAAACTAAAAATGTAATGTGTAATTTTTTATTTATTTGGGACGCTCTGTATCTTGTTAAAATATTTTTAAATTGTAGCTCTAATAGTCCTTCAACGAACCCAAAACTTACAATTTGCAAAAATCTAATCGTTCACAATACTCCGTGTCGTATGTGGTGAACAACCCTGTATACACTCAGATGCAAAAAAACGCAACGGAGAAATTTTTGGTCAAATTTAAAGTGTTTTATTTTTGTTATTTTAAGCCATATTTTATGATTTTTTTAGCAAACTGTATATAATTATATCAACATTAATTCGTAAACTCAGTTTGTTATAAACTTTAGTAATTGGCATATTATACAGGGTTAATCGAGGGTTTGTTTTTTTATCCTAATTTTAAAACACCCTGTGCAATAATTTCGTGTGTAAATTTTCCTAAAATATAATTTTACGGTAAGAACCATGTCTCCTGAACATTTTGTTTTTTGGATCACGTCAATATACATGCTTTGGCTAATTTTTAAGAGCGAAATGAACTGATCACGATCAATTTGAATTTTTTTCAATTATCATTACTTTTGATGTAATTTTTTAATGTGGGGAGATGGTTTTGATAATTATTATTGTCGTAACGTCATATTACGCTGCATCGGATACTCTATAGTAAATTAAAAAAAACGTTAGAGGCTAACGATAATAACGATAACATAACTAACGATATGAAAAAAAACATCTGTAGTACTGAAGTATACAAACAGAAAAAAAAGTTGTAAAAAATACCCTAATACTTTGTATTGCCTCCCCTGGCTACTATAACTGCCTGTATACGTGTCTATGTCTATCATTGAGGCTTCATATATCATATATCATATTGCGTTATGCTTTCCCACTTTTCTTTAAAAACCAAGCGAAGTTCATTTAATGATCTGGTACCGTTTCGCGACCTCTAATCCTCCTGCCAAACATTTCCCAAACGTCGAACATGATAGGCAGTTCATAGTAGTATATAGTTCACAATAATAAAAGCTGCCTTGTCATATTGAAAAAAATTCAAAAATAAATTATAATTGAAAAAATTGCAAATTGTTGGTGGCAAGTTCATATTTCGCTCTTAAAAATTAACCAAGGCATGTATTGACATGATCCAAAAAACAAAATGCTCAGGACACATGGTTCTGACCGCAAAATTATATTTTAGGAAAATTTACACATGAAATTATTGCACAGGGTGTGTCAAAGTTAGGGTAAAAAACAACCCCTTGATTAACCCTGTATAATATGCTAAATAATAAAGTTTATAAAAAACTGAGTTTACAAATTAATATTGACATAATTATATACAGCTTGCTAAAAAATTCATAAAAATGGTGCTAAAAATAACAAAAATATAACATTTTAAATTTGACCAAAATTTTCTCCGTTGCGTTTTTTTTTGCATCTGAGTGTATACAGGGTAGTTCACCACATACGACACGGAATATTGTAGCTAAATGATTAGATTTTTACAAATTATAAGTTTTGGGTTGCGAGTGTCCCAAATAAATAAAAAATATCAAAGTTGTATTTTTTTAAATGGAACACCCTGTATATTATTACATTTTTAGTTTCTACGATTAAAATAAAGGTAAATTTGATTAAGGTTTATTACACTTAAACCTTACCGTTTTTGAAATATTTTTAATTTTGTGAAATTGCAGTAAAAATTTTAAGGCTTCATTTCTCCAAGGGTGTCAAAGTTTTTAATACTAAATATTTACTAAAGTCTATTTATTGATCAGTTATTGTGTTGCAATAATAAAAATAATACTACCTCATACAGAGTGTCTAAAAATGTATTTTAAATTATTTCTAGCTTTAAACGGCAATAACTTGTTTAATTTAAATGGAACGCCCTGTATATTTTAGGAGAATGAGATGCATAATTTAATTGTCTATCAAATTGTATTATACCACTTTTTACCTATCCCTTCAAGTTTTCGTAGGAAATGCAGTTTCTTATAATTTAGGCCTCATTTATCAATATACCCATGGAATATTGACATTTTAGATGTTTTTAAAGCAACAATTGTACAAAATGTACAGGCGAGTAATATTATCGTTTTTAGCAAAATGATAATATTACTAGCCCATTTGTATGTAAAAAGAAAATTATTTAAATTTTTATTAAAGAGTATACCATTAATTAAATATACCACCATTACATTAAAACCATTACATTACGTTCGTTAATAAATTATTCTAAATAAATGTGGATTTGAATCAGAAATTGATATAATAATAAGTTATGAAAATGAATGTCTCTGTTGTTATAAATAAGCATTTGTCAAAAAATGAAATATCATTTTTAATGTGTTACTTTTTACCACACTGTCTAATATACATACAAAATTCAGTTTTTTAGTATTTGGAGCAATTATTATTAATCAACGCAGTCAATTAATGTAGTTTGAATACTGGAATCATATTAATTGGTTCTCTTTAACAAATATTTAAACAGTTTTTTTTGTTTTTTTAATGAAATAAACAAACTATATCGACAATATTAGTATCTATACTCTTTAAAAATTTGGTAAATCTTTAAAAATGATCTAAAATGTAGTGATGGGTTGTTATTTAACTATCTGTTATTTTATAACAATTATTTAGAAATAACATAACGCAACCGTTACTACTTCTAAGAAATAACAGATATAAAATAACGACACGTAGAGATCGGCCGCTCGTGAAACGAAAAACGAAGTCGGCGCTCTGCACCGCCCCGAAATTCTATACTGCTTGAAGCAATTCCAAAAAACAACTAGTATGAATGGAAAACCTGTTATTTCGTCAACCATCGATACAGGCGGCGAGACAACGGACAACGGAGTGGGGAATGCGCTACGGCGAACGTAGCTGCTTCGGTCGATCCCGTCGACGGTCGTATTGCGCTTATAACAGCTTAAAAATAATAGGATATAAAAGAAGCAGGTTTTTTGAAACAGTTGCGGGCATAACGCCTGGCGGTCGAGATAACAGGAGTGGGAAAGGAAGGCTGCTGCATCGGTCGATTGTCGATGGAAGTTCGAAACAGGTTGGAGAATAACGCATCAGTTGTTTTAGATATATTGTTTTTCAACCTGTTACGAGCATAACGGGCGGAGGTCGAGATATTATGGCGCTGTATGTTTCAGTACGTTATTAAGTTTCAATATTTAGGTATTTATTTATTCTGAAAAATTTTCAGAATAATATTTTAAGATTTTTTAAAAATGTATACAGGGTGTTTTGAAAAATCTGGTCATTGATTAATCACGATCCTGCTTAAAGCCCTTGACGTAAAAAGCTGATTTTTGGAAAACGGATTGACTTTAGGGTGTAGAGGTTCGATAAGAAGGGATTTTTCGAAACTCGAATTCAAAGGGGGTGAAACCACCCTCAAATATTAGAATATTTTTTATTTAAAAACCGGTGAGTTTTCCGGAAAAACTCTTAAACACGTATATTTTATTTCGTTGTTTTACATATTTTAAGATTTTTTAAAAATATATACAGGGTGTTTCATAAAATGTGACCATTGAGTAATCACGATTCTGCTTAAACTGCTTGACGTTTAAAGCTGATTTTTGGCAAACGGATTGACTGTGGGGTTGAGGTTCGATAAGGAGGGGTTTCTCGAATCTTAAATTCCAAGAGGGTGAAAACGCCCCTCAAATATTACAATATTTGTTATTTAAAAAACGGTTAGTCTTTCGGGAAAACGCTTGGACACGCATAATTTATTTTGTTTTTTTACATATTTTGAAATTTTTTAAAAAATAATACAGGGTGTTCCAAAAAGTTGAGTAATTGATTAACCACGATTCTGCTTAAACTGCTCGACGTTTAAAGCTTATTTTTGGCAAATGTGAGAAAATTTTATCCAGTTTGTATGTCAATAGAAATTCTTGCTTTGCTTTATCATCACCATTACAAATTATTAATTCGACGCGAACGAAGTCGCGGGTACACGCTAGTTTAAGTGTAAAATTAATTCGAACTCTAGTGTATAGTTGGTTTACTTATGAAGAATATACTACACATTTTCTTATATTGCTATTTTTTGACCACAAATGGTAAAATTATAACTAAGAGCTTCTTGCCCGTCGAGTGAGATGCACCCTGTACACTGCTACGCAATTCAGGATCTACGCCGATCGAGGGGCAAGGCGTAGGTAGATCGGAATGTATACGTATAGACGAGTGGCGGAATTTTGGCTTTTTTATATCGCAATTTTTAAACAGCGCTTATTTGTAAACAACGACCGTTTTTAGAGAGGTATTTTAGATAACAATCGATATTTAGAAATTTTTAGACACCCTGGAAATACTACCACCGAGCATGTCATTCCGCTTCATACTCTTTCAGATATTTAGCAATAAAATAAAGAAATCTGTTATTTTTAAGCTGTTATTTTAAGCTGTTTTTTATAAATAACTATAACAGTTTCAACTGTTATCTAAAAATAACAGTTTTGCCCATCACTACTAAAATGTCGGTATTCCATGAGTATATTGATAAATGAGTTTAAAATTACAAGAAAACGCATTTTCTACGGAAATTTGAAGAGATAGGTAAAAAATGGTATAATACAATTTGATAGACAATTAAATTGTCAATCTGATTCTCATAAAATATACAGGGCGTTCAATTTAAATTAAACAAGTTATTGCCGTTTAAAGCTAGTAATTATTTAAAATAAAATTTTAGACACTCTGTATAAGGTAGTATAATTTTTATTATTGCAACACAATAACTGATCAATAAATAAACTTCAGTAAATATTTAGTATTAAAAACTTTGATATCCTTGGAGAAATGAAGCCTTAAAATGTTGACTGCAATTTTACAAAATTGAAAATATTTCAAAAACGGTAAGGTTTAAATGTAATAAACCCTAATCAAATTTACCTTTATTTTAATCGTAGAAACTAAAAAAAATATAATATACAGGGTGTTCCATTTAAAAAAATACAACTTTAATATTTTTTATTTATTTGGGACACTCTGTATCTTGTAAAAATATTTTTAAATTGCAGCTGTAATAGTCCATCAACGAACCCAAAACTTACAATTTGTAAAAAATTAATCATTTAGCTCCAATACTCCGTATCGTATGTGTTGAACAACCCTGTATAATATAGAGGGTGAGTCTTAAATAAGTGCAAATATTTCGACGGGTAGCATATTTCGACCCCAGAAACACGATTATGAGATTTTTTTCCTCAAATTTATTCTCTGAAAATTTTGAATTTTTTGAAATTTTTTTGGAAATTCTTTTAGTTTTTAGTTAAATTACATAATTTCTTGTTAATATAGCAACATAGGTAGTCGATTAAATTTACAAGAAAGAAAATCCAGAAAAGATCCAGTCGTTCACAGTTAAGTTAATTAATATGGTTAAAATACACTAAATCTGATGGCAGTAGATAAATAATACAAATTATACGTTTGCCTCTTTATTAAATGCAATAAAAATCTTTAGATTTCTTACCTTTGCGAAATGAGAAACTTTAATGCATTTCTAATACTACTTTCTATAGATTTCTCCGTTGGCTTCTCTGTAGGGGGCTCTGTTGCAGGACTTGTTACTCTTACTGGTTCTGTTGTTTCTGAAATATAAATTAATTTTTGTAATAATAATTGGTATGGGTAATCGGTAGTATTTTCATTAGTTCTTTAGCAAATTTTATATAAATATATCAACTTTAATTCATAAACTCATTTTTATTATAAACTTTAGTATTTGGCTTATTTTGCAAAGTCGTAAGAAGTTGTTTTTTTTTTGAAAATATAATTTTTTATATAATTTTTTTATACGCTTAGGTACAGCGTGGGTCAAATTGGACTCTAAACAGCGTAATAGAGAGATATCGTTAAACCGAATAGCGTGCATGGACGTTAATAAGGCCAGGTGTTATTTCCTTTACGTGAGGTCAAGAACGGTAAACTAATAGGATTGCTCATCCTCATAAGACGTACGTTGTTATGATAGTGTGTATTATTAGTTGCCTATGGTAAACTTATAAAAATAACAGCTGAGAAATTTTGAGTTAATTATTTTGTCAATTTTAAATGTGAAAAAGGTGTCTTTAAAGTTTTTAGAGCTATAGAGTGTATAAATACGTTCATTTTGTGTTGTGGATTGTGACAAAGTGCATACTAAGTGCTCACGATTCTGTTTATTAATTATTTTAAAGCAAAATATGGAAGTACTCTAAAAAGAATGCTTGCAAAAGGTGATGCTGGGACCTGCTGTTCTTAAAAATGCATTATCCGAGTATTTAATACGATTTATATAGTTAATTTTCTTTACTGCATACATATAAGGTGTTTAAATAAATAAACTAAATAATGAACGTTTTGCATTCAGTAACCAATAATGCACCAATGTGTGTATTATTGGTTGCCGGATAAGGACTAATAATTATGACAAGGGCTACAATGACGTCACAAGTTAAGCGAGTAGTTTTCGCATGCACCTGGCGGACACTTTTGGCTGAATGAGCAGTCCTATTAGGTTAACTGTTCTTGACGTGAGGTGGTATTAACTCTCTTCATTTATAGTTATCGGATCTGAAAGAATTCTGTTCGCGGCGCGTCCGCTATTCAAACTTAACCTAACTTTGAAATTGTTTTGTTTATTAGGTATTTCAAAACTAAAGGGTTAAAGTGCTTATTTCCAGTGCTTTATTGTTCAACGTCTGCCAGTGGGTTTAAGGCAACAAGCGACAAATTCTCTTAGAAGGGCTAAGTCGTCATCTGCTGTAAATCTAAGCCTCTTTATAGGTTTTTTAATATTGGAAGAGGTGGAATCCATATTTTAGGCCATATTTATTTAATTAAAACTAATCCCAGCTACTTAAATATCAAATTACCTAATAAAACTAAAGTAATAATTCAAAACAATTCAAACATAACCTAAAATAAAAGATCTGCCGGCCGGCCCCTGTTGTCAAATACCCGCACATGCCCATTTACGCAATTTTTAAACGTTATTTAGAAATAGCGCTTGGTGTAATTGGTCCGCAAATTACGTCAGGCGGTAACGTTATTAGCGGGTGCTGTGTTAAAAATTGACTCGCGCATATCGTAACCATGATAAGGTACGCGTAAATACTGCATGACGCTATTCGGGTTTCCGATATCTCTCTAATAACTGTGCCGGTCAGGCGCTGTGCACAATTTTAGAGGCCATAAGTGGGCGTGCTATGTGCCCAAACTAGTAACCTAACTAGTGCCCGATTCCGAAAATTGGAACCACGAAAAACAATAAAAAAACCAAAGTTTAGAATCTGTATAATCCTCGGTATAATCTGTGGTATTATTTTTTAGGGCCAAGATCAATAATATATCGGGTGTTTCTCAAGAGTGGTTCGCCCCTATAACATTTTTTCTGATAAGAAAATGAGATTTGGTACGTTAGCATATGGCATGAATTAGGATTGATTGACGTATTCAATTCGTTTCGATCACTACCTGTTTCACTGGAAATGAGTATTACTTTTGATTTTTAAATGGCACCATCAATATTTTTCTACTTTATTCGATAACAATGACACTCTGAATAGAATGTCATGTCATATGTCAACTTTTGACATTACGCTTAAGAAATCCTATTTTAAATTTCAGTCTAGAGTGCCATGGCTGTGTTAAAACACTAATATTCAATCAAGGATCCTTGGAAAAAAAGTAATTGTCTGTTGTTTTTAGTGTGTTGTCCTGGCCGATTAAAAAATGCCCAAAACGTATTTTTTGAATCATATCTCAATGTTTTCAAATGGAACGAAAAGGTGGCTTATTAGCATATTCAGAAAAAAACATTTTTACGAATAATTTGGTACGGCAATGGTACTATAAGCCAATGGTACCGCATTAAGCGTAATAAGCCAATGGTACCGCACATTTGGTATTTGGAGTCAAATTGTCAGATGTTAAAAAAAAATAAACAACTAGACACCTTAACTTTTTTTAACTGTTAAGCTATAGCAGGGTTGCCAAACCGTCCTTTATTCCAGACGACAGTCCTCTCTTACATACTAAACTCAAAATCTAAAAAAATATTTGTGTATCGCCACAATGTTTTAAAGAATTGTTAATCTGTGTCTTTCGCTACTCCCACTCGGTAGTACAGAAAAGAAGTCGAAGAAATACTTATGTAAAAGAAATATTTTTGAAAGCTATAAACATGTTTAACTCCACACAACCAAACTTATATGGAATCATCTATTATTTTTCATAATTTTTGAGAAGTATGAAAATTTTCTGTTTATGAATAAAACTCAGTCCTTACTAATGACTTTTAATGAAAAATAATCCATATAGGAATAAAAAAAATTAATCAGTTCCCAAAATAAACAAAATGGTATTTTTTTGGTTTCTGAAACGAAATTAAGATTTAAATTTTTAATGGCCAAAAAGCACAAACAAAAAGAAAATTGATAATTTTAATATTCCTTGTTGCCACCTCTAGCCCTTATGCAAGCTTCTATCCGCGCTGGCATGCTTCTTGTTAAATTATCCACCTTGTCTTGGGGTATATTTTCCCATTATGTTAATGCTGCATCAATAAGCTATGCGAGATTTCCTGGATTGTTTCGACGAGCTCTAACCCTTCTTTTGAGCTAGTTCCACAAGTGTTCGATCGGGTTTAGATCTGGTAAATAGGCAGGCCAGTCCAAAACTATGACACTTTCCGTTTCAAGACATTCTCTAGTCACTCTGCTGGTATGGCTAAGAAGTTAAAATTATCCCCAATTGTAGCTCTCCAAAGACTAACGACTGGTTCTAGCGCCAAATCAACATATCTCCGACCCGTTAAAATTTGTTGGAGTGGTAACAATGGAGTTTTTGCTCCTAGTATAATACCTCCCCAGAACATTACAGTTCCTCCTTTATATCTTGGTACAGATTTGGCAGCCTGAAGTCTCGCTCGTCTTCCTGGAGCTCTGAGAACCTGAATTCGATGGTTATCTGATCTTAGGCCAATTCTGGTCTCATCCGAAAAAAGAACATTTTGCCAATTCTCAGTTGTTCAGTTTCGATGTTGAAGGCATCAATTTAGCTGGTCAATTTTATTTTGCCGAGATAACTGTGGGATCCGTAACTCTCCCCTACTGTAAAACCGTCGTGCACGAAGCCGTTTTCTTATGGTTTCAACTAAAATGTTCACACTTGTAGCTGCCAGAAGTTGTCTTTGTAGCTCTGGATGAGAAACATTAGGATTTATTCTAGCAATTTAGCACACAAGGCGGTCTTGTTGTTCAGATGTAACTCTTTGACGACTTTGTATGGGCCTATCCTTGTCTGTTCCTAATTTCAAGTATCTTGCATATGTTTTCGATACAACACCCTGGGTAACGTCTACTATCTCTGCTACGTCTCCCTGGAGCATTTCTTATTCTGTGAGAGCAATAATTCTTCCCCTCTATACATCTGTTAATCCAACATAAGGCATTTTTTAATTTTTTTGGATTGAATGAAAATTACCGGACCAATCGTGATTTTACTACTGAACACAAAATTCAAAAGAAAATAAATCGTAGCAGTCGTTTATTTTTTATTATCACGTCTAATTACAACAAAATGCCTTATCTTAAAGTTGTATACCAATTTTTATCCTTGCAAGAAATTTAGTCAGAAATAAAAGGTGATTCCATATAAGTTTGGTTGTGTGTATTTTATGTTTACTTATTGTTGGTTCATGTTTTGAAAAAAAAGTTTTTGTTGAAAATGGTTTGTTTCATTTTAGCAAGTTTTGAGTATAAATATTATTAAGAAAGTAAAAAAGACCATCAATAGCATACCATTGACATAACTTTTTGGTAAATTGTAGACATTTGGGCGAGGTTTCAAAAATATTTCACAAGTGCCTCTTTTTTGCCATCTCATCCTCTATTTTTTATTTTGAAAGTTGGCAACCTTAAGCTATAGGTACATACACAGACAATTATATCCCTAGTACAATATTTAAATATTAAAATCGCAATCACAGGTTACAGTCGCAGTCGCAGCGATTTAAAAATCGCACTCGCAGCTTCGATTGCAATTAGAGAATCGTAGTTTTGCTCATCCCTACTATAACCCCCTTACAATACGAAACTGGATTTCACAAAAAAACGCTTTGCAGTAAATTTTGCAATAAAGAAACTATCGCAAACTCTCTATTATTACATCCTTTCAAATGTCTCGAACTTTCCGGAAAGGGCCTGCTTTCGACGTAACAATATCGGAAGGGCCGAACTTTAAATGCGATCGGATTGAAGTTTGAGACCGTAAACTTTCAAATGCCATAGAACAACCTTTGAGTATTTAGGTGAAGCTTTTAATAATGACAAAAATAAAGTCCAAAATGACTTGGACGTAAGGGGACGTTTACATAGAGCGTTTTCTATGATTTGAGAATTTTTTTTTAATTTTTATTCAATAAAAAAACTTCAAATAATCGATCGACATAAAATAATTTTACTGTCAAACAAAAAACTTATTTATACTAAAAATATTTGTTAGGTGTATTTACTAGATGTTTCTTTCATTCGTCTTTCGGGCTACATAACGGAGTCGAGGCGATTTACTTGGTTCACTTGAAAGACAACGGACTTACTGCAGCTGC